TCTATAGTTGTATCTCTACATAGTTGATGAACTCATTGTATTATATAGATGGCAAATAAATCATATGATATAGCATATATCAGTATATCATCTTATTCTATTTCTTAGCACATCAGAATGAATCAGCCTCTACCGGATGTAATCCTGTGACATCCATATTTACTAGATCTACATCTACCCTTTGTAATCCTATCCGATCCTCTCGCAAGTGAAAGCCTCTACAGAGAAACTCTTTCATTATAAACTCCAGAGCTCAAAGCTAAAGTCTTTATACATATTTACTAGATCTATATCTACCCGATGTAATCCTATCCGATCCTCTCGCAAGTGAAAGCCTCTACAGAAAAACTCTTTCATTATAATCTCCATAGCTCAAAGCTAAAGTCTTTATACATATTTACTAGATCTACATCTACCCTTTGTAATCCTATCCGATCCTCTCGCAAGTGAAGTCCCCTACAGATGAACTCATTATCAGAATTTTATAGTTCACTAGCTAGTCTAGCTACATCTTAACCAAAATTAAAATCCAGCCGGCTTTTACCTTCTCAAGCTCACAGTTCAAACTCCCCTTAGAGTATCTGTTCGTCGGCGTGCTATAGCTGATAGTTCTTACTTTATTCCTCGTCTATATATATAAATTTTTTTTGTCACCATTTTTGGCGCTCTGACATTTTCTGGACCCAGCCCATGCCCATGCCCATGCCCTGGACCCAACAGATCCAGACCGTGGCCTAATATGCTGGCCGTATAGTTGGAAGTATTTCGCTTACTTTTTTTCTGGTTTCCTTTTCTCTTTTTGTTTTTTCTTGTTTTGGTGCTGCACTTGTTGGCTACTCTTATATGCACATCGATTTTCGCTCAGTGCTTTTTATTTGCCAGACAAAATGGACAACGGACGGTGGACTGGCGGCACGGCACGACTGTTTGTTTGTGTCCACGGTTTGTTTATGTGCCTTAACTGGACACGAGCAAGTTTTTAAAGCGACGTTTAACAAAGCACCCAAACTTGACTAAAACTGACCGCCCAAGTAGCCCGAGTGGCGAATGTCCAGCTCCAAGTGCCGCTTGGCTGCATTTCAGTTCATTTGTCGAGATCCTCCACTTCTGATTAAATCGCAAATTACTTTGTTCACATCGTGCGGGCCTTTGCTGACATTTGGGCAACAAGTGTTGTTTAATATTCTTATTTTTATTTAGAAATATTAATGTAGATCGGACCTAGTTCGGTGCTAAAATTGAGAAAGATCGAGTTGTACTTCAGAGCGGCGCTCAAGCATTGTCCATCAATTCAGTTTCTTTTCAGGCAGCATTCATTTAGTGTTTGAAAACACACTTATATCTGCATAACAGCATTTAACAACACTAGTTTTTAGGGCATTTTAACTAGTGTTTGCCAATATTTATACCTTTAGATCAGCATTTACCAACACTCCTGCACATTCCAATCAGATTTTATTGTGGCTAACATATAATTTGCCTAACGAATTTCGCGTTGATCAACACTGCAGCTCACAGTCAACTGTTAAACTCTAGTTCACTTTATGATTCAATCACAAGCCATACAACGTAATCAAATTTTCCCATCTATGAGTAAGTGATTCAATGCTGTTTACCAACACTTGCTGTTAGCATTGATTAACACTGCTCATTGATTATCAAATGATGTGGCCCATGCTATTAAACTAATGATTAGCAATATTAATTTATTATTCTATTTATTCTATCTCATTGCAAAAAAATATGCATATTTATATAAACACGTATGTATATATGTATATGTATGTAAACATAAACATAAATATGTGCACATAAATAGAAAACGACAAAATTGAACACTAATTTAAAGTTTTTCTTCTGCTTTGCAAATTTTCGTTTTGCTCGAAAGTTTTCAGTAATAAAAATTTTGCTGCATGCGCTACACAGCTTCCCTGTATATGTATATGTGTGTGTGTATGTAAATTTATGTATATGTAAATATACATATATGCATTACTCAACACTGGCTGCTTTGGCTGCCCTCACCAGGGCTCAATTAATAAAACTATTTTACTTGACTAACTCAGTTTGTGTCAAACTCTGCATATGGCAGATGTCCGCCTCTACCCTTTCCCACCCGTCCAGCACCGTCCCATTAGGTTGGCTTAGTTTGATTGTCGGCAGCTACTGCATTTGCGTTCATGCCACCAAATCGTGCAACAAAGTGAAATGCACTTAGGCCGCCCAAGTGCGTATGTGTGTGAGTGTGCATGTGTGAGTGTGCATGTGTGTGTGTGTGTGTGTGTGTATGCATCGCATTCTGCAATATTGCATATTGTAGAGGCGCACTTAAATTCAATTAAACTACAAAGGCAGTTAGGCAAAAGCCAAGGACCGCACGAGTTCGACCAACCCAAAGCGATGACAGCCACGACGCCGATGACGATGACGATGCCGATGACGATGACGATGACGATGATGGTGAGCGTAAGCTGAGTGCTCTTTATGGCCAGTTTCAATCTGGCATTCGCTCCTTCATTCATGCACCAATTCGCTCAGGCATTCAATCGCATGGCTTTGCGGCACTCGATGGTCAGCTGGAAGAGGTTTGTCTAATGAAGCCTTACTTAATGGGATACTTGATAGGTGGACCGGTGAAAGTGCTGGCCGTAATTGCACTTAATTGGCGTGACGTTTGTCCGCTATCAAACTCAATTGCAATCGAGAATACAATTATAAACAGTATAAATCCGAGCTGCTCTCATTTTGATGTGTTTTGCAACACTAATCAAGGATTTTTCCACGAATTCTTTGAGCTTGAATCTATGTTTACTTTCTAATTTCAAGCTAGGGCATGCGAGAGTCGGTGCTGCGTACGAGAACACAAAACCTCTGCGAATTGGTTTCTGTTTTTCTAATGTCGCCTGCGCGTTGACTGTACAAACTGAAGGGATATGCGAGCTGTGCATGTATGCATGCTGGTGGGTCTGCTGGGCGTGACTGGTCGTGTGTGGGCGTTGGGGCGTTTGGGCGTTGGGGCGTGTCGCCCATGTAGCTGCTTTCTAATTTCATTTACACGCTTTTCAACACTGCTCAACATCAATCGAGCTGCATTCAAATGTTTTTCTAGCTGCACGCCCAATCGACTGACTGACCCGCTGGGGTCATGCGGGCAGGTAAATATAGAATGCCATAAACACACACACACACACACACATGCACGTCTATTATATGCATTCATCTGTCTGTGTGTGTGTGTATTTGTAACTGTATTTTGTTAGGTGTTTTACCCTTTCAGCACTGCAGTAAACCAGAAATGCGTCGCAGGATCTTTGTGTGTGGAGCGCAACGCTCGGCTAGCTACATCTGGAGATGATGTTGATGATGGAGCTCGATGGAACTGTTGCTGCTGCTGCTGCTGGTGCTGCTGCTGCTGGTGCTGGTGCTGCTGCTGCTGGTGCTGGTGCTGTTACTATGTACAACTAATTTTATTAAAGCAAGCTCTAAGTTGATTTTCAATTGACTCCTCATTTGTGTGGGCAAGGAGAATGCGCCGGCTGAGGCGGAGTCTGCGCTGTCAGCAATCAACATGTTCAATTGAGCATATCCTGCCAGGGCAGGACACAGCGACGCAATGTGATTACCCAACGCTATTTTGTACACACTCACACACACACACACACGCGAGCATCGAGCATCAGCACCAGGACACACAAGGACACATCCCTGCTGTCCTGGCGTCCGTCCAGCGGACGAAACTCTGGTTGCCTTTTACATTTCATTGGATTTTATGCGTTTTACTTTATGCTGATGTTTTTATTATTAAATTTCCTTGAATTTTCATTTACATTTTTTCTCTTCTCTGTTTTTTTTTTTTTTTTTTTTTTTTTGCGTGTTTCGCCTCAGTTCTGCTTAAGCTTGCAACACTGACCCGCCCAGGCCGCCGCCCACTCTTTTATCCTGTCGCTGATGACTCCTCTTCATTTTCACACTTTTCATTCAATTTATCGCATTTCGCAAATTGAGTGTCGCTTTCCTTAGATCTGCCGTATTCCACTGCTCTCATTCTCCCTCTCACTCTAACTCTCTCTCTCTCTCTCTCTCTCTCTAGTCTAGGCAGTGTCTTGACACCCAATTGTGCTCGACTCGCAGCCCACTTTATAATTAGCTATTTTCAGATCTGCGCTTTCGATTCTCTCATTCTTTAATGCAATAACTCAATGCGAACATAAAGCATTTGAATGTCGTAGACCTGGAGCAGCCTCTGCAGTGATTGTCCTCGGCTCGACACAATCGGACCGAGCTTAATAAATATTTCCCCAACACCCTTATTTTTGTAGTACCTATTTTAAGAGATATATATCTCTTGTCCTAATTAGGTATACGCCCATGCCAAAATGCCTCACACTCGCATCTCAGAGTTGCCAACGCTGCAGTTCCCTCAACGCGTGTCCCCACTGTGTGTTTATATATACATGTGTATAGATGTGTGTGTGTGTGTGTTTGGTAGCTCGCTTTCAACACCTTCAGCCAACTGACTCCAATCGCATGTTCCAGCTCCTCTTCCAGCCACTCCTCCTGCCCACCCGCCTACCCTTTCTAACCGCCGTTCAACCCATTCGCGTTCCAATTCATTTTTCAAGCATGCCCCCCGCATCCTGCTCTACTCCCACGCCAGCCTCGAGTCGTTGGCAGCGCCTTATGCACGCCTCATTTTTGGCAGCTCATGAATATTCATGGACATGAACGCGCAAAGGCTCGACTAGCTATCTACTGGCGTCAGCAGCTGGACTGTACTGGGAGCAAAGCGGGTGCCAGGGGCTGAGCAGAGGAGAGGAAGCGGGTGGGCGGGTGAGCGGATAGAGGTGGCAGTGGGCGTCCTGGCATATTATGCAAGTCATATTTTTTGTCCGCTTGCCGCATTTACACAAATTGTTCACGCCCAACACTTGACCTCACACCCAAGGCCCCGCCGTACCCACAGCACCGTCCCGCACGGGCCCACACTATATACGCTGGAGTAAATTTGCAGTCTGTTTATTATGGGGAAATCTGTCTAAAGTTCGCTACGGTTCGGGTTAACAGTAGCGGCATCACTGCCTGTTCCGCTGCTCACCGTTGTCTCCGGCTCCTGCTGATCCTGTGCCTGTGCCTGGTTCTGGGTTTGGCTCTGGGTCTGGGTCTGGTTCTGGTTCTGGTTCAGCTCAGATGCCTCTTCGTGCTGCTCCGGCACGGACTGCAGCGAGAGTGGCTCCAGCACTTGCTCCAACGCCTGAGCCGACACCTGAGCCGACGCCTCATCCGACATCTGAGCAGACGCCTGACTCGACACTTGATCCGACTTGTCCGGCTCCTGTGCGTTCGACTGCATTAGCTCCTGCTCGGCCTTGGAGCTGGCCTTGGGCTTGGGCATGGCGAAGCGCTTCGTCCAGTAGCGCGCCACCTTGTCGTGCTCCTTGCGATTGCATTTGTACTGGTCGGCAATGCCCATGACTAGTGGATCATTCGGATTGCACTCGCCAATCAGCACCCAAATGGACAGCAGCACCTTGGCAATGTTCATCACCGGCGACCAGCGCTCGTTCAGCACATCCAGACAGATGACGCCGCGACTGTCCACGTTGCAGTGATAGATGCGCGTTATGAAACGGATCTGTGGCGGACGGAAGGGATACGCGCCCGGAAAGCGTATGTCTAGCTTGAAGATGCCGCCCTCGTACGCCGTGCCGCTGGGCCCCATGATGATCGCCTTCCAGTGGAACAGATCCTCCTTGTACATCTCGGCGCTGCAATTGGGCGGCGGATTCTGCATGATCTCGTTCAGCTCCCGCTTGATGCGCATCACCGGACCGTTCAGCTGGGTCATGGGCGTGGCCGAGCCAACTCGGCTGTGGCTGTGGCTGCGGCTGTGGCTAGCGTCGTTGATGTTGTCGTTGTAGTTGTCGTTGTCGTTGCTGCTACCGCTGCTGCTGCTGGCAGCTCCTGCCTGAAGCAGCTGCTCGCTGTGGCGGCTGCTGCTGCTGCCGGCGCTGCTGCTGTGGTGGCTGCAGCGGTGCTGGCGTCCCTGGCTGGTGCTGGGCGCGTTCTCATCGCGAGTCGGCTCCTCGCCAGCAGGGAGCGCCTTCGCTGCCATCGGGGACGACGACTCCTGCACGCTCTTCGTTTCGGACGTGCTGCCTTGGGCTTTACAGGACAGGTTCGACATGCTATCGGGCTACGCGGCTTCTCTTCTTCTATTTGTCACTCTATCTGTCTCTCGCTCACTCGCTCTCGCTTTTTGGTTCAAATTAAACGGTTGTGCAATTTGGAAAATTTTTTATTGGAAAAATTGTTATTGGAAATTTTCTATTGTTCTCATGCGTTGCTCACATGATTTTTGAACTTACATTTCTGGAGTTTCAATCTGAAACTAAATCCCTCAAAACACAACCTGCCTGCTTGACAGCCCGACGATAGATTTGTAATGTGAATGTATCGTTGTGCCAAATGGGACAATCGTTAATCGTTAATCGAAAATGAATTCCTTAATCTTTTATTATTTTAATCTTTAATATTTAATTAAAAAATCAAATTGTGATATGCATAACACTCTTTCCACTTCTTATAGGTATATTATTATATGACGGCTATTTATCGATATATACGTTTGATAGTCTAGTGATGATGCGATATATGGAATATTAATATAAGTATCGTATGTACCACCGCATTCTAATGCCAAATGCGTATCATAAGGCTACCGCTGATGCGATATATGTACATATTCATATGAATAGATCATTATCCCATGAATGTAAGATCTAGTCAAAGCTTAAGTATATATAGTTGCATAGACAAATTCGATATTCTTCGTCGTCCAACTATCGTTTCTTTGCTTGCTCCTAGAGATGAGCTAATGCGATGTATCGCCAAGGCAAATCATTTCTATCCGATGTCTATCGATGCAAGCTTTGCTCTAGCTTTCATTTCAGATCAGCTGACAAGCAACAAAGTTGCGATATGCCCATATTTATGTTGAATGCACTTTAAGTTTATTCCTTGCACTTAATTTCTTTCTGGATAGTCTTCTTGGGAGGGATGCCTTCGCTGCCGAAGGCAATATTCAGTTGACACGACCATCAAACGGAGTGCAAGTCCGGGACTGAGGGATTCGACCGCCCATTCGCTGTATCGCCATTTTCGCTTGCTTGAACAAGTCAAACGTTAATGAACTTAAAGAAATTAATTAAAGTGCCATCCAGCCAGCCAAGTCAGCCACATGTGTCTCATCTGGTGCTGGGGCTGGCCTTGGGGCTGGGGCTGGGGCTGTGCTGTGTGTTTGGCTTAACGCCTGCGACGGCTTTATTGAAAACGACATCCGGTCGGGCCATCAAGCGGCTTCATTGGCCGCTGGACGCAAAGTAAATGCAATAAAAGCAACACCGAAAGGGATTGGGCAGCCAAGGTGTATACATGTGGGCGTGGCAGTAGCACATTCACTAGCCACCCATCGAGACGCAGGCAATATGGCAAAAGTGCTCAGAAGATCCAACAACTAGCAGATGCTCTCCCTCTCGCTCTCCCTTTCTCTCACTCTAACATTCTCTTTCATTGTTTTTTTTTTTTTTTGGCTCTCTAAGCTTTTTTTTTTTTTTATTTGCAATACTGCATTAACAATTAACGATTTGAACGATTTTGAACGGATTGAACAATTTTTAACGGATTCAACGATTTACAAGTAAGCTCTGCACGGAGCGCAACGGCGGCGACGCCGAGCCCTCTGATTGGCCTCTATTGCCGACCAGTCGGGCAAGTGTGGCACATTCGTGATACGCTTCCAGATGATGCCCACAGCGACAAACAGCTCGAGCACTATGAAGACAGACCAGATATTGTAGATGACGCGCATCCAGAGGCCGTGATCGTCGTACAGATACCAGCTGACGCACATCATCGGCAAGCAGGCGCCCAGGGCCACGAAGAGCACCAGCTTGGAGTGCGGCCCTTTGGGGCTCAGGTTGAGGATGTAGCCCATATAGATGCGCATGGACTCGATAGTCACGGTCAGCATATAGAGCAGCAGCATGTTCAGATTCAAGCGATCCCATTCCTGCGGGAAATGAAAGCCAATGAACGAATCCGTATAGCTGCGATACTGATTATGATAATGGCAACGATATGGGGAATACTTACATAAATAAACAAGCACAGCAAGTAACCAAAGGCCCAAGTGATGGCCACATACAGATTGCCGTCCAAAAGCATCTGCATGATGAGGCTGGAGCACACTGGGCTCACGATGTGAGGCATTTTCGAATGAGCTGAACAAATTTTAATTTCAATTTTAATTTCCAGTAAAAAAATATAAATAATATGCTTCAATGCCTGCCAGCATCAGACTGAAATTTTGAGGCGAGCTCCGTAGGCAGGAGCTTATCAGCTCGACGCACAGCACTCTATGTTTTCAGCCAGTTATACAACACTGAAACAGAGTGTAGGGCATGAGAAATAGTTTGAGCTAGTCAGAACTATACCTGAATATACATACATATATATAGAATACTTTAAAGATGGTGGAAGAAGGAAGCGAGTAAGAACGAAGAATCTCAATAGATGGAACAAGCTGGATAGAATATGGAAATCATAAATATATTTACAATATATATGTTTACATATATATTGTAAATATATTTATGTTTTCCATATTCCTTTAGGAATACTTTAAAATTGAGGAGGGAAGTGAGGAAGAAGCAACCTGAATATGAATATGGAATACCTGAAAACACATATGGACAACTTTAGAAAGGGAGGATGAAGGGAGAAACCAGGAAGAATCTCGATAGATGAAACAACCAGAATATAATATGGAAAACATAAATATATTTACAATATATGTGTAAAGGAATACTTTGAAAATGAGGAGGGGAGTGAGGAAGAACGGAGTCTCAATAGATGAAACAACCTGAATATAAATATGGAATACCTGAAAACGCATATGGACAACATTAGAAAGGGAGAATGAAGGGAGGAACCCGGAAGAATCTCAATAGATGGAACAACCTGAACAACCTTTCTGCCTTACAGAATGAGTATGGGGGAAGGAAAGAACTAAGGAAGCAGAAAAACCCCCAATCATTCGCCCAAAATATGCAGCTGTAAACGCTCTATCATAGCCGATGGACCACACTTTCTTATGTGTATGTCGGGCAGGGCATGTGTGTATTTCTTGCAGGGCATAAATTACGGCACATGTTGAATGTTGTGCGTCCATGTGCTGCGCGAACAACCACCAACGGATGGGCTGCTGAACGGTAACATTCAGCAATACTGCGACAAAATTAACAAATGAGCCTGACAAACGCCCGATGACTCCGCGATGCAAGTCCACGGAAAAGGCCGTCGGTCGTTTGCATGCCAAACAGTTTGTGCACTCTCAGCTTTTATTGAATTCCATTACAGTATCATGTCAGTCAGGCGGACAGCGGAGCAGCGAGCCCTTGTAACGTCATCATAAAAGAGCGACTCTACCAACATCAGCAGCCACAGCGTCATCCTCAGCGAAGGACCCCAACGTCATAGCTGCTGAAAATAATGAAAAAACATTGCAGTAGCCGAGTGCCTGAAATTGACGTTGTCGTCATTAATGGGAAATTGTTTTAGATGTCCTCACCATTAAGATGTCCATCCGGGTGGCCAGCTCAATTGCCATAGTCGTTCCATGTACTCTCCTGAGTACGTGTGTGTGTGCATAAGTGTTGTCAATCATGCTGTATGTGTGCACCTCCACATATGTATATAGACAATTGGCAAACATTTTCAGCTGCAGTCGAATCGAGTCAGTCGAGTTTTGCATCTACTCATAGAGATTCGTATACTAAACGAGACGCTGGAAGCCTTATATGGGAGTCTGTGCCTAGATCTGTTTATTTATCATCTATCTGAATGAAAGATAATCAAATCTTGAGACATTTTAATTGTTACTTATTTAGGTGTTTCTTCCCATTTCCACAATATCGATAATATCGATTTTAGCGAGTTAAAGACTAGCTATTATCGCACATATGTAGAGTTTTAAATGAACCTTAAATGTATGCATTAGACTTGGGTAGCTCATGAGTGAGTGAGCCAAAATGAATGGCTCACTGAACTGAGCCACTGAACTAGCTCCTTCAATATGGCTCATTTGGCTCACAAGCTCGTTTTCGCTCACTATCGGCTCATGAGCTATCAGCAAGTGAGCCAGTGAGCCAAATGAGTGAGTTGGCTCACTTCACAAAAAAGAGCGAGTGAGCCGGTTCACCTCAATGAGCTGTTTTTACCGATTAATATAGATTGCATAATGCCAATATTTATCGACAGTTTAGCGTTGATCCTTTAGTTTACCCCTAAAAAAGACGATTGAGCATAATATATTATTTTAATAAACCATTAAAGATCATATTATTTAGTAAGGTCTTCTCAGTTGCCTAATAGCGATAATTATTGATTTCGATAAGTTAAATACCGACATTTAGTTGGTAACATTAGAAACTATTTATTAAATTCTTATCAGTATATCCTTCTATGCATATATCGATCAATATCGACTACCGCATATCAATATTTATCGATATATTCTGGTTTTCGACTTTAGCACGACAAGTTTCAATAAGTATTGCTGGAAATAAGAACTATATAAATATCTCAAAGTCCGCATGTAGCTATCGATAGTTGAGCACGGTTGATAATCGACTATTTCTGCCGGCTTGAATTGCCTCGTCTGATTGCCATGCACTTATTTTCCGGTAAAATGTGAAAAATCCAAAATCCTTTTGACTAGCACAGAATTTCGGTGCGTTCATTGTTGGCGCTCAGTCAGGGGAGTTAGGCACTTGTAGGAATGCGAGCCTTTCTTTGTTCTCACTGGAACTAGCCCGGCGCACCGAATGGGACTCGCATCTGTTGATGACAGCGACAACTCGGTTAACAAATTTTGCTGCTTTGAATGTTTATGGCCCAACATGCGGGCACAGTAGATTTTTGCTAGAGATTATGTCCGACCGCAAAGCAAAGCCCAAAAGCCGATTCTACTCCGATACGAGTGGAACTGTGCTTCCGGACAGGCATCCGTCACAGAGACCCAGACACAGATGCTTATCGAAATTGGTTTGCCGAGCAGTTGGATTGGGTCTGTGGAGCCGTATAGGCAATCCCAACCAAGCGCTTCAAGTGGCCTTCTGCATTGTTTTCCAAAAGCCAATTTATATAAGTTAATTTAATTTTTAGAAATCTGAAAGAATCTGAAAGCTATGGCAACTAAATGACTTTTTATTGGGAGAACATGAGATAGATTCGGAACATCTTATGAAATGTAAATGCTACTTTCATCAATAACACAATTATCGATATACAGAAAATATATATCGATTAGAAATACTAATCGATAGAAGATTGAAGATGCTAGATATAAGTATTTGATAAGCCAGAAAAACTATAAAGCTTATCGATG